GAGGAGGGAGAGAGTGGCGAGCCCAGAAGAAAGGTAAGCCGGAGCCTCAGCCCAAAGGAACACTGAGAAGGTCCTCCAGTGTCCACTTCCTCTCACATACAAAGTTTGTAGAGCTGCCTCACCCACCACTGAGGGAGACTGGGAGGACGGATTAGTGGCCCCGGGGACAAGGCAGACTGTCTGCACTTCTCACAGGGGAACCCAGCCTCCACCACCTTCTCCAAAGGAGAACATCTGGCCCGGATGCTTCAGACTTGCATGAGGAGGACTTGAGAAACTAAACTAGGGTGACAGGCCAGCTGGCCAGCCTATCTGGGACTCCAAGAACAACTCTGCTAGTCCAGGTCATTGTCAGCTCAAGCCCTAGAGAAATCAATGTCTAGGAGATGCTTCCAGGATATTCCCAATGTCTGACATTCTTCAAGAGAGCCTGAGGGTGAACCCTAATTCCTTCCCCTCCTCAGAGCAGCAAGATCAGATATACAGCCCAACCTTGCTTCCCAGGGCCTTCATCTCCAGTTCCTCCTCGTCTCCTCTCCCACTGAGAAGCCACTTTTAATCTGTGAGCTTGTCACATGCTGAACCATATGGCTTCCTCTGCTAAGTTAAGGTTCCCTGTGGAGACTCTTTGAGGGTCAAGGACCAATGATTCTGGGTGGCCCCAGAAGGACCCACACAATGCCAGGCACACTGTGGGGTCTGCTAAATGCCTACTGCTCCTTGTGTATATGAAAACCAAAGTCATGAAGAATAAAACCCTGGCAGCAATCCACTGCACACTCAGGCAATCAATCAGTCCCCAACCCCATGCCTAGCCTACCCTGCCCATCCTCAGCTTGGGCTCTTGCTGGGAACTGGGCTCCTGTTTCAGCCCATCTGCTCAGCTTTTTCTCAGCTTCATACTGGGGGTAGGGAATCCCATGGGAAAACAGGCTGCCTGGAGGGAGAGGAGGACCAGTCTGGGACTCCACCTATCTATAAAGGAAAAGGACCATCCATCCCTGACCCAAGCTAATCAACCAAAGGAGTACCTGCACCTGAGTCACGCTCCCACAGGAACCAGGTAAGCTCTTCTCTTGCCAGACACCTGCTCCAGTGGCAGAAAACTGATTCAAGGGACTGGGGAGATAGTTCGGTCGGTAAAGAACCTGCCATGTAAGCATCAGGACTTGAGTTCAATCCCCAGAACCCATTACAAAGCCAGGTGTGGGGCCAATACCTATGGCTCAGCAGGTAAAGGGGCTTGCTGCCAAACCTAACAACCTGAAATCAATCCCTGTGACCCATATGGTGGAATGAGAGTATCAACTCTTCAAGTTGTTCTCTGACACCCATACTTGAGGTGGCACACGTGCACGCGCGCACACACACACGCGCACACACACACACACACACAATAGATAGATAGATAGATAGATAGATAGATAGATAGATAGATAGATACATAGATAGATAGATACATAGATAGATAGATACATAGATACATACATAGATAGATACATACATAGATAGATACATACATAGATAGATACATACATAGATAGATACATACATAGATACATAGACAGACAGATGATAAAGCTAGGTATGGTAGCTTCAGAGAGCAGGGGCATTTCCTAGCCAGAGAGTCAAACCATAGCCACAGAATAAGCCATGATAGGCGCAAAGAGACAACAGACACCGACACCAGCTACATATAAGATCCCCACCCAGAATCTTTAGGACAAAGCCAGCTCCCTCATTTTCCAGCTGATGTTGCCTTTTGAGTCTAAACACAAAAAGCCACAGGATGGGAACTTCCTGAGCTGAATTCAAAGAGTTTTCAGAAGAAGACCAGTGTCTGAAGCACGGGATGTCTTCTGCTTGTGAGACATAGGGTTCGCCGGGGATGGTTGAGGGTCTGCTCTGAGCCTCTACAGCCCTCTGGGAGCCAAGCACAACGTTCTCTCTTTTCCATAGGTCCACACAGCAGGCCCTCCCCGTCTCTACTCCCTGACACTCAGCATCTCCACTGGCTCCTCAGCACTGCCATCTGCTGCCACCCCACCTCTCCAGAACTGGTCTTAGTCATATCCCAGCAAGCACCAGGCCTCTCTGCACAGTGTTCCTCTGTGTGGTCCACATCATGCTTGGCCTCGCCCGGGCACCTGGCTCAGCTGTCCATCCATCCCTTACTGTGAAGTGCTTGTCCCTCTGTGTCTGTGTACAGCTTCTTCCACGGCACCATCCTAAGAATGCCACCTCTTCCTTCGACAGCTGCCTCGGGCCTGTGAACACAACCTGACCCTTCTCTCCTCCCCGCTGAGCTATCCTTCCCACCTCAGAAAACACTTTCACCAAGTTCCATTGCTCCAGACCTTGGGACCATTCTTGCCCCCTCTCGTGAAATCATCTTGTCCCATCAACCTACCACCTGAGAACTCTGAGCTCTAACTACTTCCAAATAACCCTGCTGGTGCCCTGGGCAAAATCCCACCCTCTTCCCCTGTCCTCGCACACTGGCCTCTGGTACATGTTTCACACCGTTCTGATTCTGGAAGCAGTTGGGGTGAATGCTTGCAGGCCACATCACAGCCAGGAGTGAACACCTGTGACCTCTGCACTCAGGAGGCTCAACGGCCTGGTTACATGATAAGACCTTGTCTAAAACAAAATGAAAGCAAGCAAAAACAAACCTGCACCTCTCCGGTGCCTTTAATTAGGAGAAAAAAATCTGAAGTCTTTAGCAAGACTTCTGTTTGACCTAGAGCCTGCTTTCAGGTCCAGACTCTTCACCCCTAACTCAGGATGCTCCAGCACTTCCGGTCTTTTCCGGATACACTCTCTCCTTCCACCTCATCTCTGGGATTCCTGAGCTGCTCTGTGCCTCTGGTCACCAGAAATGCTGGTAAGATGCAGGTGCCATTGGGCAATCCGAAGCAGGGCCTGTGACTCTGCTTTCCTGAGAGGCTCACCAACACTGCAAGTGTGACCTGTCCCTTTACCTCACTTTGAGTAGCAAGGGTCTGGAAGGCCACTCTGACTCTACCTTAGTGTAAGTCCTCCTCAACCCTCAGGACCCAGCTGAAATAGCACTTCCACAGAGAAACCCCTCCTGTCCCTCTCCAAGACCTCCTCAAATCCTGTCCCGTCATCCTCCCTGAGGGATGTGAAGCTTCCCCTGAGAACACTGTCCATCCTTTGTTCTTGCCTTTCCCTTTTCAACTTCTGGCTCCGTGAGTGGACTACGATCTCCAAGAAAAAAAGAGTCCTCAGTATCTTGTTCATCCCTGGGTCACTAGGCACCCACCCAGCACTGGGCCTGTGTGGGCTCAGCAGCCCTGCAATGGGTCCTGCCTACTCTGTGTCCACTTCCCCTCTTACAGCAGCGCTGCAATTTCCTTCCAGGAGCCACCCCATTCCTTCTCTGGGGTTTCCCCGGTGTCCAATCACAGCATTCCATTTCTCTAGCCGGTGGCTTCCTCCCTGGGACTCTGTCAGAACTACTGGCAAAAAGCTACTCTTTTTCCATGAGAGCTACCGAGCCCATAAGAGTTGCTGTCACCATCCTGCCATCACTGAAACAGAGCTTAGCAAAGAATGAAAACACCATGGAAAGAGAGAAGGAAAGAGGCAGGCTCCTCCAGATGAGGCCATGCCTGGGAAAGTTCTAAGCTGAAGTGAGTAGTGCTTCCGTCACTTGCAACCAAGAACCCTGACTAATGCAATACTCAAATAAACACCGGGTGTTGAATGAATGAAACAGTCATGCAAGTGGAGCCTGCCAAGAGAACTCTCTGACTCCTCCAAGGCTTCCTCATTTTCCCTATAAACTCTTGCTATCCATGAGCAGAGACAATCTTCCCACGACCCACTCTGCAGTCCAAGGCTGAAACTCAGATTGGCCACATCCTCCTCAGTGTCACTCTATGCCAACAAACCATCCCAGCAGTTAGGTCACATACTACCCCAGATTAGGCTAACAAAGGTGGCCTGGATTGGGATGCCCAGGCATCCCCACCAAGAAAAGAGTTGTACCATCCATCTTGTGCCCTGTCCCCCATTCCTCCCACCTTTGAATGCCTGGCCCAATTAGGGCGCTGCTACCATTGTCAATATTCTCATGAATGTCACGCTGCTCGGGGTGAGGTAGATATATGCCATGGGATGGAGTTTATCTGCTGTCTTTGGGTGTCAGGGAAAAGGGGGAGCCACTCAGAGCAGCAGAAAGAGATGTGTCAATTACTTCTTATGAGTCATCTCGGAGCAGAGCCTCAGGGACAACACACCAATAGGCCTTGAGGGCCCTTCAGATGGCATGGGAGGCAGGAGACTGCCTCAGGTCTAGTCTTTACCCAACCAAGTGTGAAGGTGGAAGTTAGGGCGGGGCTGCTCTGCCGAGGGTGGTCTTCCCATGGCAGCTGGAGGTGGGGACTGAAGCAGAAGGGCATGGAATGGGGACAAAGCCCCCTTTCTGGGAAGGGGAAGTCCTAGGCTTGGAACCAAAGATGGGGTTCTCTCCCAAAGAGGCTGCTGACTGGCTCCTCAGACCAGTTCTCCAATAGAGACTAAAGCAACAAGCAACCTTCCCAGAGAGTGGGGTAACAAAGCAATCTTAGAGGGGCCTATCAAAGGTAGGCAGAGCAGCATTCAAGTGCTATCCAAGTCCCAGAGGGCCCACTTAGCCCCCGCCTGTCTTGGATGTCAACCCTTTTAATGCCCAGCTGCATTCTGTCCCCTCTACTTCCTCCAATGTGCCCAACCCACCAATCCACATGGCTTCCCCCTAATCCGAGCACCCTGCCAAACACACTGCAGCCCCAGCCTGTTTTTTCACTGCCCGGTGACACAGACACATCAGTTATTCCTTCCTCCCCCTCCACCTGACTTAACAGGACACTGTCTCCCAAAGTGTCCAGCCCTCCATAGCCCGCACTGGACATGACGCTAAAACAACAGCAAGGCCATACAATGTTCCCAGGCATCCCCTCCCTCCCGCTTCCTGACTTTGAGCCTCTTACCTTCATGGTAGGGGGGGCAGTGAGAGGAGGGGACAGTGGACGATCTGGAAGGGTCACATCCGAGCTGTTGGATAGCTCCTGCTTCCTGCAAAGAGACCACAGGACACAGAAGCTGTGAGCAAGGGCCATCTTGAGCCTTCCCTCTGCGATCTAAGAGCAGCTGAACCTAAAGACATAGTGAATGATGCAGAAAGCTGAAGTTGACTGCATTTCTTCACCAGGATGTACTAACATCAAAAGCAGTACTGTGGCGAGGGCAGGCCCTGGTCCATTAGGACATGTCCTCAGAATGCATGCCAGAATCTCCAAGGATGGACTCCAAGAATCTGCTTGACACAGCTTCCCACATGGTTCTGATGTATCCAAAGTCTCAGAACCGCCACTTCTGAAAGTCATAGGACTAGAGTCAGAGGGAAACAGGCAAAGGATTGTCATGGAGAATTCATTTTCCCATGGGCTCCTGGGTCCATCTGGACATGTGTGCTCTCTCTCTCTCTCTCTCTCTCTCTCTCTCTCTCTCTCTCTCTCTCTCACACACACACACACACACACACACACACACACACACACACACCGACCACAGACCCAGCCTTGGGAGGACAGGGATGCCTGCTATAGAAGCTGCAGGTAGAACTTATTTTAGTCCATGTGGGGTAGGACCAGGTTTGAGGCAGCTAAACAGAGTTGTGTCACCATGGAAACGCTGCTCTCACACACTCCCCACTTCCCATCTGGCCCTTGCTGGTGACCAGGGAGAGCTTGTTTGCCGTCCCATCACCAGGCAGACTGCTTAGGTTGAGAGAAACCTCCATAGCGACTTATGCAACAGGGCCATCTGGGCAGAGGTGGGGAATTCCCCCAGTGGGCCAGGGACTCTGATGTGCCCTGGGGGTGGGGGGAGGGATGGAAAGGCAAGACAATAATCCTGAGATCCCAAGTGAGCTGTTAAAGCCCCTAGTTTCACAGGAAGCACCCCGAAGCACCCAACAGGCAGCCCATTACCCATATCTGTGTTAAATGACTGAGACCCACTATTCCCCATTGGAGAGAACACTCTGAACCTCTTCCCAGCTCTTGTCCTGCCAGGAGTAGTGACAGCCCCAATCCAGGCTGCTTCATGGAGGAAACCCACATTCCCTAGAACCACACTCCCCAACTTCCCCAGATACAGTCTCACGCTGGCTCCCCAAGACCACAGGCCAGGACAGTCTAATACTTCTTGAGAAACCTGGCTTGGGGACAGAGCCATACTGTCTATCACAGAGCCCTTTGCTTCACCTGCAGCCAGCCACCTGCTCTGTCCTCTAAGCAGCCAGACAGGGAGGCAGATGAACATCTGGCTTGGCTCAGGATCCACATGAGTCCACTAACCTCAACCCTGGCCAGCTCCCTTTCTGTCCTCCATCTGCCTGCGTCCTTGGTAACAGGACTTAAGTGGAAAAGGTCTCCTCCCTCCTGGTCCAGTCTGTTATTGCCCCAAGAACCATAGAGGACAAGATTCAAGATTCTGCAATGCCCATTCCCTCTCGCACACACACACACACACACACACACATGCAGGAGTTTTGACTGCCTCTGAACACAGCTGCCAGCCTTACTTTCCATATATCAACTCAGCTGTAGCTACTGTTGTGCCTTCACTTTCCTCCCAATGAAGCCGGCCCAGCCAGCAAGGTACAGTCTCTGCCCTCTGCCCTCTCCCTCTGCCACTCATCCCTTTCAAGCAGCCACTGCTTCTCTTGATGGCCCTGTCCCCTGAGAGCCAGAAAGGGGAAAAGGGAAGGTTAATCAGGGGTGAGAAATATCACACTAGGTACCCCAAGACAAAGATAAGGGTGACTCCCTAGGGAGCTAGGAGGACCGGCGGGGAATGGAGAAGAGGCAAATCCCCCATGTGAGGACACAGGCCGCTCTGGCCAGCCATGCCTCGGTATCTAGATGACTTCAAGTACACCTGTAACAGAACACACGCACCACCCCTCTTGCACACTCTTGGCTCCATCCCCTCCTCCAATTTAAGAGCTAAAAGTCTAGAGTCAGTTAAACTGTGTCCCCTCACAAAGAGGTATGTTGATCTCTCACTCTGCAGCACCCATAAATGGGGCTTTATTTGAAAACAGAGCCTGCAGATATAATCGAGTTAAGATGACCCCCCCCCCGTGAGCTAGGCCTTAAACATGGGGTGGGGGGGCATGTTAAGAGGAGAGGGCAACTGGCAACTGTAAGGTTACATACAGCACCACGTCACCACCATGGCAGGATGGACTGAGATGGTAGTCACGTGGCTGCAGGTGAGGCATGCTAAGGGTGGCGCCAACCACCAAGAACTAGAAGAGACAGCAACGGTCATCAAGCGAGTGTGTTTCTGCTGACTTCCAGAACTGGGAAAGGAAATGCCCGTTGCCTCCAGCGGCTCTAGCACTTGGTAACAGCAGCCCTGGGAAAATAATAACACCACCCAAGTTCGCACCTCTACCCTTGCCCTTGTGGCCGAAAGATCAGAAAGAAGAAGGTAGAATCCCAACTCCTACCACAACCCCACCCCTTACTCTGGTCAGCTGAGGCTGACCTTGTCCTGCCCCAGCCCTCATGACAATGACATTTACATGTGAGCTATTGCCACCCCAGGCCAGACCTAGCCACCAGCTGGCACAGAGATAAGATAAGGCGAGAGCCGCAAATGCAGTGCAGTTCCTGCTCTTTCTCACTCACTCTGCAAACACATCACACATGAGTAGGTGAAACTGATGTGATTCTATCCAGGGATAACCTTGACCACTCTCATTTGTTATACGAGAAAGGTTAATCCTTAGCAGAAGTAACAAGTCTCTTGTGATCCACAGTGTCACGATTCTGAGATTGAAAACTGCCCCTCCCACTGACCCAGACAAACAGGAACATATGCTGTAAGGACACAGGGCCCCATATTTATCCAGGGGCTCTTGGAAACACATAAGGGAAGGTGCTGATAGGGACAGGTGGTGGAGAGAAGGGAAGAGGAAGATGGAGGGAAGGCAGAGGGGAGGAGGAAGATTCTATTCTCGGCTGAGATGGAGAGGCAGGCAGGCACTGAATGAGGAGGTCACTCCGGGCTTTCTGGAGGCACACCTCCTGCCCAGCATCTCCTATGCTGCACAGCCAAATGTGCTAAAGCTCTCCACCCTGAGATTGGCTCCTACAGGCAAGAATATCCCAGGGCAGAGCTGAAGAGAATGCACCTGGCCCTAGCAAAACACAGTCTAGGCAGAGAACAGAGAGTCCTAGAGCAGAAGTGGATTCGCCTAGGTAAAGCTGGGAGGTCTTTGGGAGGTCCCTATGATGACACTTCAGCATCCCTCAAAGAGGCTGTGGCCTGGGCCTCTTGCAAAAGCAGTTGGTCTTTTGCACACTGCTATGCAGAGTCCTCCAGTTTTAATCCAGGGATTCCTGGGTTCAAGCTTGGTTCCTCCTGCTACTCTGTCACATGACCTCACCTCTCTGTCTCGGTGCCTTCAACAGCAAACGCAGGAGTAGTGACGTTCTGAGGAAGTAAAGGCAATGCTGTGGGATACAAATATGAAGATCTGTACGAATTTAGACTAGGGTGATGACAATATGATTCATAAAATGGTGAACTGGGATCAGCAAGATGGCTCAGTGGGCAAAGCCACAAACGCCTGATGGCCTGGGTTCAAGCTGCAAGCCCTCCATGGTAGAAGGAAAGAACTGACTCCCACAAGCTGTCCTGTCACTTCCACCCGTGCTCAGCGGCATGTGGGCACACCAGTGCACACGCACACACAAAGAGGTGTGTGCACTGGAGCACATGTGACAAAAATCCTAAATCAATAAATAACACAGCAAGTGGCGATCTATCCTCCAAAGTAGAAAGAGAAGCAAGGATCCAGGCTGTTTAAATGTGGTGGAAAACATTCCTACCATCTCAAATAAAGCAACAGTCTTTTCCCCTTAAGATCTGCTCTGAGGATCATAACCACCCACTGGTTAATAATCAACAGCAAGAAAATACCCACCTAGTAACAGATGGCCCCGGGGCCAGGTGCAAGGCCTCCCCCTGACAAAGTTCTTATAACCCCTTCATCTCCGCCAGCCCAGCTCCCAGCTCACCCTGCAGGCACTTATACTTGCTTTCCAAATTAGCCAAACTAGAGACACACACCGACAGCTGTATGCTTTGACTGGCTTCTCAAGAAAACAAAGGGGGTGTAAAACATGAGTTACAGAAGCAAAAGGCAGAAATGACCCAGATGTCCCAGTCAATGAGTGATGAACCGAATGTGATATTGTTGTCGGGCGGTGGTGACACATGCCTTTAATCCCAGCACTCAGGAGGCAGAGGTGGGCAGATCTCAGTGAGTTTGAGGCCAGCCTGGTCTACAGAGTGAGTTCCAGGACTACATAGAGAAACCTGTCTCAAAAAAAAATATAGAATACTGTTTCACCATATACAGGAATGATGCATGGATATATATACTATGAAACAGATCAACCCTGAAAGCATAATGCTAAGTGAAAACAGCAAGTCAAAAGAGGAACACATGCTAGATCAGTGGTTCTCAACCTATGGGTCACAACCCGTTTGGGGTCGAACAGCCCTTTCACAGGAGTCACCTAAGAAATATCTGTGTTGGAAAACACAGATATTTACATTACAATTCACAATAGTAACGAAACTACAGTTATGAAGTAACAATAAAAATAGTTTTATAGTTGGGGATCTCCAAACATGGGGAACTGCATTAAAGAGACGGTGTTGGGAAGGTTGAGAACCACTGCACTAGATGACTCCCTTTCCTTGAGAGGTCCAGAACTGGCAATCCAAAGTCAGGATGTAGATTAGAAGTTGCTAAGATATTGAAGGAGGAGGGCAAAGGGACCACACGCAGCTCACGAGTGGTTAAATGACTGCCATAATGATTGCACAACACTGAGAGAGAACTTCACACACTGTCAAAGGATGAGCTTCACAGTGTATGAGTTATATCTCAACTTTTGGAGAAGGAACACGAAGAGGGGACTGGAGGTTCCTGCTGCTTAATTTCCTCCCCAGCTGCCTTTGGGTCCACTGGGCCCCAAGTGATGGGC